ACCCTATTTTTTATTAATCTCTAAAAAATTGATGATGACAAGTATACCCTTAAGTGGGCGGCCAACTTGGCAGTTACATAAAGAAAGTAAAATAAGAACAAATAACAGGCCCATTAAGTGAGGCCCATCAACATAAAATAAAAGATAAAATAAAGGATATCACATGAGAGGCTGTTAGGGCCCATTCGGCCCAGTCTCTTTACAGTATCCAACTCCAACACTCCCAATCTTCCCTACCACAACCCAGGTAACCGTGTCCTTTCGTTTTGTGATATTAACTATTGCTTTTTGACTTCCGTGCCAAATACAGATCCCAACCCAGAGGCTGCAGCCCTTGAAGGAGGGGATGGGGTGAGAGAAAATAGAAGCGACAGGGAGGGTCAGGAGAGAGTAGGGAATGAAGGAGAAACAGAAAAAAGAAAAGAATCCTGGAAATCCTAGAGTGTTTGTTAAATGAAGCAGTGGTGGAAAACAATTCAAAGGAAGGGTCAAAGGGAGTTAGAGTAGAGGGTTTTGAGGAAGGAGATAGAAGGGGGGAGACAACAACAGTGGAGGGAAGTAGAAATTCAAGTGTAATAGATGTAATTAGTAAGGATTCTGTAGTGGGTTTTGTACAGAAACTGGGGTGCAAATTGAAAGATTCAAATGCTCTCAAAGTATTTTTGAAAACAAAGAAAGAAGCAAAATCTAAAAGGAGAAAAGTGAGTGAGGCTGAAAGGCTGCTAAAGGAGGTGGGAGGAGATAGAAGTTTGAAGGTTAAAGGAGAAAGAAGGAAGAGGAATAACTGAGGGCAGGAGGGTCTAAGGGGAAAGAAGATAGTTAGATGAGGATCTTAAGCTGGAATGTCAGAGGTTTGGGAAGTGCTAGGAAGAGAGTAGTAATAAAAGAGGCCATCAAGAAAACAGACCCAGATGTGGTACTTTTGCAGGAGACCAAGAGAGTAGATTTTGACATTAGGTGGGCAAGGAGTGTCTGGAGAGGCAGGGGGATTAGCTAGGCGGCTCTTCCTTCTTGGGGGTCTGCGGGGGGTGTTGTCACAATGTGGAAGAATGAAGTACTCATAGGTCAGGAAGAGTTAATAGGCCAATTTTCAATTTCTTTGAAGTTTAAACAAGTGGAGGATGGGTTTGAATGGGTGCTTACCAATGCATATGGTCCAAATGATTACAGAGAGAGAAGGAAGTTGTGGGAAGAACTGGCTGATATAAGGGGACTATGGGAAGGGCCTTGGTGTCTTGGAGGTGACTTTAATGTTATAAGATTCTTGGAAGAGACAAATAGTCCGAGGCGGAGATCGACCTTGAGTACGAGGAAATTCAATCAATTTGTGGATGTTTACGAGCTTAAAGAGATCCCACTATCACACARCTGTTTTACTTGGTCCAATCTCCAAGTGAACCCGATTTGCTCTAAGCTGGATAGATTTCTCTTCTCAAATGATTGGGAAGAATATTGGGGAATCTAAACTCTAGAGCATATCCAAGGGTGACTTCAGACCATTGGCCTATTGTAATCTGTAGGGAGGAAGTGTGAGAAGTGCTGGTCCTGCTCCCTTTAGGTTTGAAAACATGTGGCTAGGACACCCAGGGTTCATAAAGAAAGTTAAAGAGTGGTGGCTAGAAAGCAATCCAATAGTGAAATGGAGTGGAATGAGGTTTCATAAGAAGCTCCAATATTTGAAAGGCAAAATCAAGGAGTGGAATCTGTAAATGGTTGAAGGAGGGGGATAGGAATACCAAATTTTTTCATGCGATGGCAAGTGGAAGAAGAAGAAGGAATTTTGTATCAAGTTTGGAGATTGAAGGGGTTACAATATCCACCCAAAGAGAAATAGCAGGGGCTTTTGCAAACCACTTTAGATCTATCTTTAGAAAACCCCTAAATAATAGGGTGTGGATTGAGGGTATGGAATGGCCAACTTTGTACATAGAGGATAGGGATTGGTTGGAAAGGAAATTTGAAGTGGAAGAGATAAGGGAGCCAGTGTTCTCTATGGATATATCAAAGGCACCAGGCCCAGATGGTTTTGCGATGGCTTTTTATCAAGATTGCTGGGAGATATTAAAGGAAGATCTATGGACTGTGTTTGATGAATTCCACTCTAGAGGGGTGATCAACCTAGGGCTGAACTCCACTTTTATTGCACTGGTTCCTAAGAAGAGGAATGCATGTCACCCAAAGGATTTTAGGCCGATCAGCCTAGTCAACAGCCTTTATAAGATTATCACCAAGGTACTGTCCATCAGAATAAGGAAAGTGCTCCCAACAATTATAGTAGATAATCAAGGAGCCTTTGTGAAGGGGAGACAGATAACAGATCAGATTCTAATAGCAAATGAGAGCTTGGAGGAGTTTAAGAGATCCAAGAAAAAAGGGTTGATTTGTAAACTGGATTTGGAAAAGGCTTATGATTTGGTGGATTGGTCTTTCTTGATGGAGGTGATGACCAATTTTGGTTTTGGGGATAATTGGTGTAGATGGGTCTTGGGTTGTATCAGGAACTGCCATTACTCCATACTGGTAAATGGGACAGTGGTCGATTTCTTCCTAGCCTTGAGAGGGATTAGACAAGGAGACCCCCTCTCTCCCTTGTTATTTACTTTGGTAGCTGAAGTTCTGGGGAGACTAATTTATAGATCAGATTCCAGGGGCTTAATCAGAGGTTGGAGAGTTAGGAGGGAGCTTGTGCCACTCACACATTTGCAATTTGCAGATTGCACCATACTCTTTTGTGAAGCAGGGGACCCTAACAGGGTTAGAAATTTGAAGCTCACTATACGACATTTTGAGCAAATGTCAAACCTTAAGGTGAATTTTGAGAAGAGTTGTATAGTTGGGGTAAATATGGGTGAGGGGGAGATCTCTGAGGCTGCAAACATCTTAGAATGTGCAATAGCAAACTGGCCCCTTAATTACCTTGGTTTTCCATTGGGTGATAACCCTCAGAAAGGTGAGTTTTGGGTTCCGGTTGTGGAGTGGTTTGAAATGAAATTAGCAACTTGGAAGAAAAACTATTTGTTTCTTGGAGGGAGAACCACTCTAATCAGGTCTACTTTAGCTAACCTTCCTATTTACTTTTTGTCAATCTTCAAGATTCCGAAAAGGTGGCTAGTAGATTAGAAAAACTAATGAGAGACTTTCTCTGGGAGCCGGGGGAGGAGAAGAAGGATCATAGGGTGGGGTGGGAGATGGTTTGTAGGAGTAAGAAGGAGGGAGGTTTGGGTATCGGGAATTTAAGGAATAGGAACTTGGCTCTTCTGGGGAAATGGCTTTGGAGGTTCTCATTGGAGAAGGACAAACTTTGGGTGAAGATAGTAGAAAGTACTCATGGGGTTGCAACAAATGGATGGGACTCTGGGATTCTGGCAAGGAGTACAAGAGCATCTCCTTGGA